AATACAAAAAATATGTGGAAGCAAATGAAAATGAATACATGACAGTCCAAAACTTTTGGGATGCGGCAAAAGGCAGTCCTAATGGGGAAGTATAATCTAATACAGGCCTAACTCAAGAACCAAAAATGTCTCAAATACACAACTTAACCTTATGCCTAAAGTAGCCAGAAAGGGAGCAGGAAATAAAATCTAAAGCCAACAGAAGAAAGGAATTAATAAAAATTAGAGCAGAAATGAAATAGAAACAAACAAACAAAAAATTGAGTAGGACAGATTAAGAAATCTTGAGCTAGTTCTTCAAAAGAAGTAGTAAGATTGATAAACCCTTAGCCAGATTTATCAAAAACAAAAGAGAAAAGACCTGAGTAGATCAAATCATGAATGAAAGAGGAAGGATCACAACCAATACCACAGAAATACAAACTATTATATATAAGAGACTACTATGAGAAATTAAATGCCAACAAACTGGGCAACCTGGAAGAAATTAACAAATTCCTAGAAACCTACAAACTACCAAAACTGAAACAGGAATAAACAGGAAACTTGCACAGACCCATAAACATTTAAAAAAAAATTGTATCAGTAATCAAAAATATCCCAACAAGCAAAAGTCCTGGGCCAGATGTCTTCCCAGGGGAATTCTACCAGACATTTAAAGAAGAGTTAATTGCACCCCAATGTTTATCGCAGCAATGTCCACAATAACCAAATTGTGGAAAGAGCCTACATGTCCATCAACAGATGAATGCATAAAGTAGATGTGATATATATATATATATATATATATATATATATATATATATATAGGAATATTACTCACCCATCTGAAAAGGTGGATACTTAGCATTTACATCGACATGGATGGAACTGGAGGGTATTCTGCTGAGTGAAAGAAGTCAATCAGAGAAAGAATTATCATATGAGTTTACTTCTATGTGCAATATGAGAAACAGCACAGAGGACCATTGGGGAAAAGAGGGAAAACTGAAGGCAAAGTCATCAGAGAGGGAGAAAAACCATGAGAGGCTCTTAACTATAGGAAACAAACCGAGGGTTGCTGGAGGGAAGGTGTGGGGGATGGGGAAATTGGGTGATGGGCATTAAGGAGGACATGTGATGTGATGAGCCCTGGATGTTATACACCACTGATAAATTATTGAACACTAAATCTGAAACTAATGATGTACCATAACTTGGCTAATTGAATTTCAATTAAAAAAATAAAATAAAGAAGTGTTAATACCTATTCTTCTCAAATTGTTCCAAAAAAATAGAAATGGAAGGAAAACTTCTAAACTCATTCTACAAATCCAACATTACTTTGATTATAAAGCCAATGCCCTAACTAAAAAGGAGAATTACAGGCTAATATTCCTGATGTGCAAGAGTGCAAAAATTCTCAATAAAATAGTAGCAAATTGAATTCAACTATACATTAGAAGAATTATTCACCACGATCAAGTGGGATTTATTCCTGGGCTGCCAGTTTGGTGGTTCAATATTCGCAAATCAGCCAACATGATACACCGCATTAATAAAAGAAAGGATAAGAGTCATACGATCCTGTCCTTAGATGCAGAAAAAGCACGTGACAAAAGACAGCATCCTTTCTTGATAAAAACCATCAATAAAGTAGGGATAGATGGAACACACCTCAACATCGGTAAAGGCCATATACAAAAGATCCATAGCTAATATCATCCTCAATGGGGAAAATCTGAGAGCCTTTCCCCTATGGTCAAGAATAAGACAGGGATTTCCACCCTCACCATTACTATTAAAGATAGTACTGGAAAGGGACCTGGGTGGCTCAGTCAGTTAAGCATCTGCCTTTGGCTCAGGTCCCAGGGTCCTGGGATCAAGCCCTATGTCAGGCTCCCTGACCAGTGGGGGTTCTGCTTCTCCCTCTGTCCCTCCCCAACTCATACTCTCTCTTGCTCTTTCTCATATAAATAAATAACATCTTAAAAACAAAAAATATATAAGAAAAATCATAGTACTGGAAGTCTTAGCCTCAGCAATCAGCTAGCAGAAAGAAATAAAAGGCATCCAAAATGGCAAGGAAGAAGTCAAAATTTCACTATTTGCAGACAATATGATACTCTATGTAGAAAATCCAAAACTCCACCATAAAGGTTGTTATAACTCATACATGAATTCAGCAAAGTCACAGGATATAAAATCAACGTACAGAAATCTGTTGCATTTCTATGCACCAATAACAAAGCAGCAGAAAAAGAAATCAAGGAATCAATCCCATTTGCAATTGCACCAAAAACAATAAGATACCTACAATTAAACCTGACAAAAGATGTAAAAGAACTGTACTCTGAAAACTATAGATCACCTAGAAAGAAATTGAAGAGGACACAAAGAAATGGAGAAACATTCCAAGCTCAGGGACTGAGAGAACAAACATTGTTAAAATGTCTATCCTACCCAAAGCAGTCTACATGTTTAATGCAGTCCCTATCAAAACACCACCAGCATTTTCCACAGAGCTAGAACAAAAAGTCTTAAATTTTGTATGGAACCACAACCAAGACCCTGAAGAGCCAAAGAAATCCTGGGAAAGAAAAGCAAAACTGGAGTCATCATCACAATTCCAGATTTCAAACTACATTACAAATCTGTAGTGATCAAGACAGTATGGTACTGGCACAAAAACAGACAGGTAGATCAATGGAATAGAAGAGAAAACCTAGAAAAGGAACCACAACTATATCTTTGGCAAAGCAGGAAAGAATATCCAATGAGAAAAAGACAGTCTCTTCAACACATGGTGTTGGGAAAAATGGACAGCAACATGCAGAGGAATGAAACTAGACTGCTTTCTTACACCATACACAAAAAGAAATTCAAAATGGGTGAATGATCTAAATGTGAGACAGGAAACCATCAAAATCCTAGAGGAGAACATAGGCAGAATCCTCTCTAACCTCAGCCATAGCAACTGCTTACTAGACATGTCCCTGGAGCCAAGGGAAACAAAAGCAAAAATGAACTATTGGGACTTCATCAAGATAAAAAGCTTCTGCACAGCCAAGAAAACAATCAACAAAACTATAAGGCAGCCTGTGAATGGGAGAACATATGTGCAAACAACATATCTGGTAAAAGGTTAGAATCCAGGGCGCCTGGGTGGCTCAGTGGGTTAAGCCTCTGCCTTCAGCTCAGGTCATGATCTCGGGGTCCTGGGATCGAGCCCCGCATGGGCCTCTCTGCTCAGCGGGGAACCCGCTTCCCCTTCTCTCTCTGCCTGCCTCTCTGCCTACTTGTGATCTCTTGCTCTGTATCAAATGGATAAATAAAATCTTTTTTTTAAAAAAAAAGGTTAGAATCCAAAATCAATAAAGAACTCAAACCCCCCCAGAAAACTCAACACCCCCCAGAAAAAAAATCCAGTTAAGATATGGGCAAAAGACATGAATAGACACTTCCAAAGAAGACATCCAGAAGGCTAACAAACATATGAAAAGACGCTCAACATCACTCACCATCAGGGAAATATAAATCAAAGCCACCATGAGATACCCCCTCACCTCTGTTAGAATGGCTAAAATTAATAAGACAGGAAGCAACAGATGTTGACGAGGATGTGGAGAAAGGGGAACCCTCTTACCCTGTAGGTGGGAATGCAAACTGGTGTAGCCACTCTGGAAAACAGAATGGAGTTTCCTCAAAAAGTTAAAAATAGGACTACCCTATGATCCAGCAGTTGCAAACTAGGTATTTACCCACAGGACACAAAAATACAGATTCAAAGGGGTACATGCACCCATGTTTATAGCAGCATTATAAACAATATCCAAGCTATGGAGAGAACCCAGATGTCCACTGACTGATGAATGGGTAAAAAAGAGGTTAGACACACGCACACACATACACACACAATGGACAATTATTCAGTCAGCAAAAAAAAAAAAATGAAATCTTGCCATTTGCAATGACATGGATGGAGCCAGAGTGTATTATGCTAAGTGAGATACGTCAGAGAAAGACAAATAGCGTATGATCTCACTCCTGTGGAATTTAAGAAAAACAGATGAACATATGGGAAGAGGGATAAGAAAAAAAGGAGAGAGGGAAACAAATCATAAGAGACTCCTAAGGATACAGAACAAACTGAGGGTCAATGGAGGGAGGTGGGTGGGGGATGGGCTAGGTGGGTGATGGGTATTAAAGAGGGTACTTCTTGTGAATAGCACTGGGTGTTGTATATTAGTGACGAATCACTGAATTCTACTCCAAAAACCAATATTGCACCATATGTTCAGTAAACCAAAATTTAAATTAAAAATAAAGAAAAAAGAAAGAGAGAGTGAGGGAGGGAGGGAGGGAGGGACAAAGCAAGAAAGGACAGGAATGAAAGAAACAAAGAAAGAAGAAAGAAAGAAATTAATTCTGTGTGATTTCACTACATGTTCATGGACGAATGAGAGTGGGAAGGGTTTTAAAAATGTATTAGAGCGGGAGATGAACCATGAGAGACTGGACTCAGAAACAAACTGAGGGTTTTGGAGGGGAGAGGGTGGGGGTTGGGAGAACCTGGTGGTGGGTATTAAGGAGGGCACGTATTGCATGGAACACTGGGTGTGGTGCGTAAACAATTAATCTTGGAATGCTGAGAAATAAAACAACATTTTAAAAATGTATTAGAAAAATAGATTTGACCTTATAGATAACTGTAAAGGCGGATCTAGTAACACAACTGACAGGAATAACACTTTAGCGGGCAAATGAATGCAGTATAGTTAAAGTAAATCGATGATTTTGCTGGGAATATATTGCACTAAAGACATACAATAAAGTAGGTTTGATACATTTGGTAATGTTTCATAAATGGGACAGGTGTTTTAAGGTTGGGCAGAATGGCACAGGTCCAAACGCTAGAGTAGGTTGGGCACTCTTGAGAGTTATAGGTCTTTTTGTGCCAAGTAAGGTGGCTCTGAAAAGAGCCTTTGGTTTGCAAGGTGGTGAGGCGGTCCTGAGGTAGATCATTGGCGGAAGGTGTACCTGAGGATGGTCTTGTTGGCCTCAGACACGGGGAACTTGCCAATCTCCCGGGAAGCAGCAGGCGCACAGCTGTCTGGATCTCCCTGGAGGTGATGGTGGTGCACTGGGTGGAGCCGGCCCGGCGAGAGACCTCGTTGGCGATGCACTCAAAGATGTCCTTGATGAACGAATCCAAGACGCTCACGGCCTTCTTTGAGAGGCTCAGACCCTCGTGAACCTGCTTCAGAACCCTAGGGAAGTAGGTGGCGAAACTGTTGTGGGAGTGGCGGTGGCGGCGGTGGCATTGGCCCCTTGGCAGCTTCTGCTTCGGGCTCTTCGGGTCGGCTTCTGTGGGCTCCTCCATGCCCAGGCTTTCCTCCCGAGAGGTCTCACAGCCTGGCTCCGCCAGGTAGGGCTCGCCTTTCCCATGCTTCAGAAAGAAGGACAATGGCGGCGGGACGCCTGGGTGGCTCAGTTGGTTGGACGACTGCCTTTGGCTCAGGTCATGGTCCCGGAGTCCCGGGATCAAGTCCCACATCGGGCTCCCAGCTCCACGGGGAGTCTGCTTCTCTCTCTGACCTTCTCCTTGCTCATGCTCTCTCTCACTGTCTCTCTCTCAAATAAATAAATAAAATCTAAAAAAAAAAAAAAAAAAGAAGAAGGACAATGGCGGCTGCAGAGGGGCGGGGCCCATTTATAGTCGCTGCATTTCCTGACGTCACAGGCAACCTCCATACCTGATTGGACCAAATGCAAGGCAGGAAAGCGGGCTCTCTGCCAGGCTGTGTCACCTGTGATTGCATACCCTTGAGCCTGACATCACATTGGATAATCAGAGTGGGAATCCAGTGCCCTCTAAACTTCTTGGGACCTTGGTCAGGAAAACTTTCCGAACATTCCACTGAAGGTGTATCTTACCTGAAGCTTTTCAATATGAAAAAACAACAGATCCTGGAGGAGTTGTATTTTTAATGGAATAGCTTTTATTCCACATCATTACCCTATTTCTGATAAGCAGTAAGTGCCATTGTTTCAGGATGTGCTAGAAGTACGTTACTCTGGAATCAATGTTTTGGCCTCCTCTTACAATCACAGTCAATGTAAAATGGAGATGATAAAAGCTCATGAGCATATGGAGAGAGAGAGGAAAAAAAATAAGGACTGGGTGACTTATCTAATAAATTTGTTATTGGAGCTAGTACTTCTTGAGCATCTTCACTTTCTATTCAATTTCTTCTTCTCCTTCTCCTCCTCTTCCTCTTTCTTCTTTTTCTCCTTCTTTTTTTTAAAGATTTTATTTATTTATTTGACAGAGAGAGATCACAAGTAGGCAGAGAGGCAGGCAGAGAGAGAGAGGAGGAAGCAGGCTCCTGCTGAGCAGAGAGCCCCACGCGGGACTCGATCCCAAGACCCTGAGATCATGACCCGAGCTGAAAGCAGAGGCTCAACCCACTGAGCCACACAGGCGCCCCTTCTCCTTCTTTTTTGTAAAGAGAGGGAGGGGAGGAGGAGCAGAGGAAGAGGGGGAGAATCTTGGGCAGCCTCCATGCCCAGCGTTGAACCTGTGAGGGCTCAATCTCATGACCCTGAGATCATGACCTGACCAAAATCAAAAGCCAGAGGCAAAACCGACTGAGCCACCCAGGCACCCCTCTATTCAGTTACTTATTTTGGCAGGTAGGGAGTACCACACAGGAAAGTGTGGCATAAAGGAAATCAGTTTCTTTCCATTTTTTCTACCCAAAGACATTACATTAAGAGGCACCAGTTAGGAGAGGGAGGGATTTAATCTGGTCAGAACTAATGACACCTCTCCTAATAGATCGTTGTGGCAGTCTTCCGTGAAAGTGCTGAGAGAGGGCCAGCAGGATGGGATAAACCAGAGCTGAATCTTTATTTCCCCGTGTTTCCTGCTCAAAGCTAGAGGTGAGGAGATAAACCTGGGAGGTAATTGGCTATAGATCTGATAAAATGCCTGGTGCCCTGTGAACCCTCAGGTTTGTCCCCATGAGATAACAGGAGATCCCAGAAATCTCAAACAGGTTTCATGTGTGTTCCTGGCCCCATCCTAGTGGGATAAGATACGTCTAGTACTCTGAGTAGAATGGAGAGATGCCCAAGCAGCCAGGAGTCCCCAGTAAGCCTCCATTCTGGCACAGTCACTTGAATACCCTTTTTGCCAAGTAATCAGACACCAGAAATCACAAGTGGTGAAACTGGTACTAACAAATCACAACATGGCTGGACCCAAAGGCTGGTCAAAGATCAGTTTGCTTAACTGTTCAAGGAACTACTATCATTGTTAGACACTCTGCCTACGTAACAGGTGCTGCTGCAGGAGAGGAAAAGGAACCGCACATGGTCGGTTCCCAGTGTCCACCAAACTCCTCCTTGTCCTAACCGCCTGGAACCCGCAGCTACCACAGATAAGTCTCTCTGAAGACTCTTTCCCCCACTCTGGATTTCTAGGCATAAGATCAACTGACTGGAGCTGGTATCTCACAACATATAAGCTTCGGTTGCCTCTATCAGCAATACTATGAAATATTTCAGTCAGAAGAAAGGACAGCCAAAACATCAGTTCATTGATGCCTTAACAGGAGAACTTCAGAAAGCCCTCACCCTAAGCACCAAAATTATAAACTTTGCAGCTTTGGCTTATTGAGAAGATCTGACTGCCATATCCCAAGGCCATACTTCCAGAGGAATGACATTAGCCAATTTGGGGACATTTCTTTTATGACTCAGAATGGGCTGCTGTCCTGAGCCAAGCCACCATAGCTTGAACAGGAACTCTCTCATGTGGCCAGCGAGGTACCCATACAAGTGAAGCTATTCCTCTTACTTCTTATCAAGGCCTGCAGGAGACATGGAAATCCAGCCTCCAAACACAGCACACTAAGAAGCAGTCATACTGATAAAAAAAATTTGTTTTAAAATCACCAGGTATTTATTAACTTGAAAATTGTTTTCTTGAAGATACTGAGGTCCTCTACTGGGTATTTACCCTAAAGATACAAATGTAGTGATCTGAAGGGGTACATGCACCCAAATGTTTATAGCAGCAATGTCCACATGAGCCAAACTATGGAAAGAACCTAGATGTCCATCAAGAGATGAATGGATAAAGAAGAAGTGCTATATATATATATCTATATATCTATATATCTATCTATATATATATATATATATATATATATATATATACACACACACACACAGTGGAATACTATGCAGCCATCAAAAGAAATGAAATCTTGCCATTTGCGATGACATGGATGGAACTAGAGGGTATCATGCTTAGCGAAATAAGTCAATCAGAGAAAGACAACTATCATATGATCTCCCTGATATGAGGAAGTGGAGATGCAACATGGGGGGTTTAGGGGTAGGAAAAGAATAAATGAAACAAGATGGGATCGGGAGGGAGACAAACCATAAAAGACTCTTAATCTCACAAAACAAACTGAGGGTTGCCGGGGGCGGGCGGGGAGGAGGGTAGGGAGAGGGTGGTTGGGTTATGGACATTGGGGAAGGTATGTGCTATGGTGAGTGCTGTGAAGTGTGTAAACCTGGCGATTCACAGACCTGTACCCCTGGGGCTAATTATACATTATATGTTAATAAAAAAATTTAAAAATTAAAAAAAAAAGATACTGAGGTCCTAAAAAATACCCACACAGTGGAACTGCTGAACAAATATAAGTGCTGATAGTTGAAAAATATAAAATTTACCCCCAATTTTCCAAATATCCACAATAGAGAAAGAAAATTTTAAATGGAAAATATTTTAAAATTAAAAGCATATTTTGTCAATAATCTCGGAAATGCATGCAAACAACTACTTTGTGTGTATTCATGAAAAAATCAATTACAGAAATTGACCCCCCCAAAAGGAGATAAGAAACATCAAAGAAATTCAGTCAATCAATGAACTATTGTCCCAATGGCAAGGCTTCCAAGGTTGTTTTCTGCGAAACCGTTAAGGAACAGCAGATGCTACTGTTAATAAAAAGGAACCTGATTATGAAAGGAAAAATATGGGGCGCCTGGGTGGCTCAGTGGGTTAAAGCCTCTGCCTTCGCCTCAGGTCATGATCCCAGGTCCTGGGATCGAGCCCCGCAATGGGCTCTCTGCTTAGCAGGGAGCCTGCTTCCTCCTCTCTCTCTCTCTCCACCTGCCTCTATGCCTACTTGTGATCTCTGTCTGTCAAATAAATAAATAAAAATAAAATATTTTTTTAAAAAGTAAGGAAAATAAGTCATTTTTATTACTAGAAAACAAAATGATGATTAAAGGAGTGAAGAAACCTTACTAAACAGATTTCTGAACACTCCCATTTACAAATAAGGATACAAAAGTCACACATGAGATATTAGCAATCAAATCTTTTCTTAGTCTGATGAAAGATGCAAGAGACATCTCATTTTCTCTGAACTCCTCTCATTAAGTCATCACAATTACAAAGAAGCTAGCAAGCAAACAAAAGCCAGGGAAAGGACCACACCAATTTCTTCCTCTAACTCCACAGGTGATATCCCAGAAATGTTCCTCCTGGGTTGTCCTGGGTCATCTTTCCAGCCAGGGGCTGTGGCACAGTGGTTACACATCCTGCGTTGGCTGAGCCAGTGAAGAGTGGGGTATGAGCTCCTCTCTTTGCGCACTCCCATTGTCCAAATGATGCGTACTTATTAGTATTTAGTTATGGTTTGTGTACTCGGATCATCAAAGTTATTGTAATTATGATTCCTATTGTTTTATGTAGGCACTGTTTGTATTATATTGTATATTGTATATACAATATATGTATATTGTATTATATTGTAATATTGACTAATTCATTCTATTATTATCTTTTTTGTTTCATCTCAGATCATCTTCCATCTTCCTAAATTACATTCCTGAGACATTGCTTTAATATGGTTTCATTTGTTGGAAACACTATGAGTTATGACTTTTCTCATGTGTCTGTATTTTGGAGTTAAGATCTTAAGGTAGCTGCATTGAGATGTACACTGCATTCAGTGTATAGGGAATTTAATCAGGATTAATAGCTGAGGAAGGGACCAGATATATATTAATCAACTCTTGTTGATCAGACCTTGGGCGTGGCTATTAGGGCAAATCCCTGAGCTCAGGCAAGGCCGCTCTCTGTAGCTGAGGTAACGACTGATAAGGTTAATGACTGAGGACTGCCAGAGGACGGCACTCTAAGCAGCTGAAGCAGAGGGTCTGTCTGTCCTTGAGGGAGGTTCCAGGTGGTCAGTGTCCCTGCCCATCAAATGATACCTCAGCGCTTACTTTTGGTGTCCATTTCTTGATGAAAAGAGGGCTGCTGTCATCCTATTTGGTTCTCTGTTTTTAGGCATCATCATGCCCTTTTGTCTGCTATTATGCTCTCTATACTTACATCATAGTTTTACTACAATGTGTTCACATGGCTTCTTGAAACCAGAATGTCATGGCTTCCAGGAATTTGGAGAAATTACCAGACATTCTCATTTGACTGTTATTTTTCCAAAATTCACCCAACTTTCTGCTTCTGGAATGCCTATGAGATGCACATAATAACTATTTACCCCATTCCTTAAACCTCTTTGCCTTGCTTTCATCCTATTTCTCCCCCTATCCTATGAGGAGGTGTTCTGTATTTTTTCTTTTACCTGTCTTCCAGCTCACAATGCTCTATCCAGCTATGTCTCAGTTGTTGTGTAAAATGTCTTTCATCTTTTGCTCTAGTGGTTACAATGATCAACCCTAGAAAACTCATTTAGCACTTTTTTGATAATTAGCTATATCTTTTTCATATTTCATATGTCCTGTCATTTATATAAATGTTTGAAGCAAATTTATTTTTTTTTTAAGATTTTATTTATTTATTTGACAGAGATCACAAGTGGGCAGAGAGACAGGCAGAGAGAGAGGAGGAAGCAGGCTTCCCACTGAGCAGAGAGCCCGATGCGGGGCTGGATCCCAGGACCCTGGGATCATGACCTGAGCCGAAGGCAGAGGCTTTAACCCACTGAGCCACCCAGGTGCCCCGCAAATTGATTTTTTAAGTTTGGCATTTGGCAATAATTCTCTTAAGGTTTCCATTCTGGTCTCTTATTTGATTTTGCTGAGGGAGGCTTGTTTTTGGATTATGTGCTTGTATGGGGAGACTTTATCTGCAGGAATCTTGTAAAACCTTCAATAAAGATTAAGCCCCCTCTAGAAAGGATTAGATATGCATTAGGCATGTGTCTGGGTTAACAACCAGGAATTTCCTGGATCATGCAGACAGTGTTAATTTGAAGGACACATCTTTTTTTTTTAAGATTTTATTTATTCATGAGAGCATGAAAGGGGAGAAGGCCAGAGGGAGAAGCAGACTCCCTGCAGAGCTGGGAGCCCAATGTGGGGCTCAATTGTGGACTCCAGGATCATGACCTGAGCCCAAGGCAATTGCTTAACCAACTGAGCCACCCAGGCGCCCCAGCCTGACACATCTGACTGCACATTGGTCCAATGGCTGTGAGTCAGCAGTTCCATATCTCTGTTTGGCTTACTCAGAGTTGAGTGAGGCCGGTGCTGCTTTAACTGGATACTTCCATTATCCTCATGATGCTGATGTCCCAGTCATGAAGGTTTGCATTTTCCACAGGAAAAGGTTACAGGCCTCAAAGAAATAGGATCAGATATATCTGAGTGACTTAAGGTAGACACTTCAGTTACAAAGGAACCTTCTAAGCTGTTCTTCCTTGAACTCTTTATTTAGGGACTTCTATACTGAGTTTGGGTTCTCCCTTCTGTTTTTGAATGAAATCTATAACAAGGTTAATGTTGAGTAAGTTTGAGTGGAGTATGTTTGACTTATTAATACTATTTTCCCAGGGTTGTGGCTTATAATTTGTTATTTAAGCAATAAAACCATTTCCCTAAATTTTTCTTTATCATTAACCACACCATTAGAGAATGAATGTTCAATAGATACCCTTTGTCCTCAGTCACCTTCCCTTCTGAAGTGAACAACCAGATGTATTCCCCTTTTCTGTCAACCTTCAAAACCCATTTTTCCTCAGTCCACATTGGATTTCATATCAGTCACTCCCCCTTACACTTTCCTTTAAAGACTATGTGGTGCATTTTCAACATTGTTTTACTCATGGTCTTATTTGATTTCTGCAATTACAGATCCAAAAAAAATTTTTTTTGACTCTTGCGGACTATTCACATTTGTCTCCTTCTTTGGATGAAAATGTTATCACATACAGGAACATTAAAGATTATTTTAAAGGTATAAGTGTCATTCTTAAAATATTGACCAAATATTGGTCCCTAAAAGAAATCCTAATTAATGTCTAAGGATTGAAATCAGATTATCTTTTTTCATCACATAGATAGGAAGCTAAAAAATTAAAAACACAATAAAATTGAGCAACATTCAAATAGTTTTGAGTAAAAGAAGGGTGAATGAGGTCACCTTAGTTCTCTAATGGGACCTCATATAATCAATATAATGAAAAAGGCAGCACAAGTGCCCATGTACAACTCAGGTTTCATACCTCTCATGGGTTGAATTACGTTCCCACAAGTCCATATGAGGAAGTCCTAACTTCAAGCAGGGCCATATTAGGAGATAGGGTCCATAAGGAGGCCATCAAGTTAAAATATATTTTCTAATGTGGGCCCTAATCCAAATCAATGTTGTCTATATAAAAAGGGGAAATGTGGGCACTGAGACATGTGTATGGAGAAGACAATGTGAAAAGACCTTGGGGGAAGTCAACCATGGAAGAGTTTAGGAGAGACGCCAGGAATACATCCTTCCCTGACACATCTCAGAAGGAATCAACCTGGACTCCAAACACTTGGTTTGGAATTCTAGCCTCGAAAACTTTAAGACAATACATTTCTGTGGTTTAAACTCCCCAGTCTGTGGTACTTTGTAGTGATAGCCACAGCACAATAACAGATTTAGGTTTTGGAAGTAGGGTAATGGGCCAACAATAAATTGGGACTGGCTCTGAAACTGGGTAATGGGTAAGAGTGGTAGAGTTTTGAGGTGCATGACAAAATAAACCAAGATTGTTTTAAGGGACTGCTGGGTGAAATATGTATACTAAATGTACTTCAGGTAAGAGCTTATACAGAAACGAGCAGAGCTGTAGAAAAAGACTTTATCATCTTAGCAAATACATAGAACATGAAAAATATGTTGCTAGAAATGTGAATGTCAAGGATGCTTCTGGTGAGACAGAGGATGGAAATTAGAAGCCTGCTATTGGAGACTTGATAAATGGCCATCCTTGATATCAAGTAGCTGAGAATTTGGCTGAGCTGTGTTCTAGTGTTTGGTGAAGACTAGAAATTTTACATGATAAGCTGGGACAGTAAGCTGGGGCAATTTCAAAGCACACTGTTCAAGGCATGTCCTGGTTTCTCCTTGCCACTCATAGTAAGTGACAGAGGAGAGACAATGATTAAATAATGTAGTGTGAAACAAAAGCAAAATAGCACATGATGATTTGCAACCTCCTCCACCTATTTAGATAGACCACTTCAAAAAGGGCCCGAGGATGTGGCTGGAAAAACAGTAGTTAGGAGCTTAGGCATGCGGCACATGGGTCCCATCAACCATCTCAACAGAAGCCAGGAATAGAGATATGGTTGTCCAAGAAAGATGTACAGAGGACCCTCCTGTGTGATGGCTTGAATCCTCTGAATTACAGAGGAAGCCAACAAGTGTTTTATTCTGAGATTTTTATATTGGCAGAAACATGTCCAGCTTGGATTGAAAGGGAAACAGATGGAACAAATGAAGGAAGATAGTTGTACTATGGGGATTCTACAAACAAGAGGGCCTGTAGATGTATCTGGCTGGAAACATGCATTATCCTTCAAGAAAGGGGGCAAATGACCCCACAGAAGTTTCAGAGGCTGGCAGGGCTGCCACAGTCACTATGGACCCAGAAACACAATGCCAGGGGATAGAGCCAACTCCCCCTTCATTCCTGAGACTGAAGTCAGCCCATTTTCATTTCTCCTTCCCAGATTTCATGTGTGTCACTCACACTTGCCTTCCTAGTATTCCATCCACAGCCTGACTTAGGTGAGTTTTAACATTGGTTTACTAGGGATCCCATTTGATTTCTAAACCTCCTGGGCTCCAAATGTTAGGACCACCTATGGTGTTCAGAATGTACTCCAGCAACTCTGGACACCTGGGAGGTCACTACTTACTGTGGACATACCATGGTCAAGAATGTGAAGCTGCCACTCCATGGGACCAGCGGCCGGAGCCTAGAGCCAAAGAGGATTCTTTTCAATCCTTAAAATCTAATAATAATGTTCCTTACTAGGACCCAAACTTGTTCGGGACCCACAACCCTCGTTTCCTTTTCCAGTTTTTCAATTTTGGAATAGTGATGTCTGTCCTGTGCCTGTCCAGCCATTGTATTTTGGAAGCAGATACGCTTGTCTGCTGTCACACATTCTCGGTTAGACGGGAATGTGGCCAAAGCATTAATCACGGCTGGCAATGTACCCTTATCTGATGTACACAGTATTTTGGTGAGATCTTGCCTTAGCATTGATGCCAGAACCAGTGAAGGTTTTTGGTGGCATTCACATGTCACCATTCAATGGAAGAATATATTGTGCATAGTATATGACTTTTGGAAGTCCACTGGATTGAACTGTGGTGTCCTTAAAAATGATACACTGTAATCCTGACCGCCCCCCCCCAGTCCTTGAGAATGTGACCTTATTTGGTGATGGAGGCTTCACCAAAGTAAACCCATGTTCAGGTGAAATAATTAGGGCAGGCCTTACCAATAAGGCTGCAGTCCCCATAAAAAGGGGAAATTTGGAGTCACAGACACTGACAGAGGGAAGACCACATGAGTCGATATTGTGAGAACATGGCTATTGTAAGAAAAAGAGAATGGACTTGGGGCACCTGGGTGGCTCAGTGGGTTAAAGCCTCTGTGTTCGGCTTGGGTCATGATCCCGGGGTCCTGGGATCGAGCCCCGTATCTGGCTCTCTGCTCATCAGGGAGCCTGCTTCCCTTCCTCTATCTCTGCCTGCCTCTCTGGCTACTTGTGATCTCTGTCTGTCAAATAAATAAATACATTAAAGAAATAGAATGACTTATGAAAGATGCCTACCTCATAGCCAGGACAGTCGCCCACCCTTCAGACAATGAGTTTGGCCACCAGCATCCAGGACTATGAGGCAATAAATGATATGTTGTTTAAGTTGACTAGTCCCTAGTGTTTGGTTTCGGAGCCCTACAAAACTAATATCCTGAAATAAGCATGATTAAGAAGCTCTAACAAATCCATTAAGCAAATAAAAAACAGCTGATAAAAAATGACAGCTGATACCTGCCACCCCACCCCCCAATTCTAAAGTGGCCCAACCAAGGTGGTCTTTTATTGGCTCACCTCGGTACACCACTTCACACATTGGGCCAATAGCTGTGGCTCAGAGGATGTAGGTCTTTCAATGGCTGACTCAGAAGAGTGTGGGGCCTGAGCTGCTCTGACTAGAGTCTCCTATCATCCCCATGAGGTGACGCACCTTGTGAAATTTTGAGGTTTTCAAAAATAAAAGTTAATAGCCTGAAAGGAACAGAGTCAGTTAAGGCTGGATGTGTCAGAATAGTAACTTCTGCTTCTAAGGAGCCTGAACAGGTTTTATTTCTTCAACTTTGGATTTAGGTATTTCTGTACTGGGTTTGGTCCTTTCTTATGTTTTCCAACGAATTGCATAATATGGATAGTGTTTAGAAGAGATGGACTTGGGTATGCTTGTCTTATTAATACTATTGTCCCTGTGCTTTTGCTTATACTGTGTTAGCCAAGCAGTAGCCAATTCCCCTATATCTTCTTCTCAGTAACCACAGAATTAGACCATGATTGCTCAACAGACATATTTTTCTTCACTTACCTACTCAAGGGAATAATCAGATGTATTCACTTTCCATTCTGAACTTCAACATCAAACCCCATTTTTCTTTCTCATTCCCGGATTCCATATCTGCCACTCATACTTGCATTCCCAGTCTTCCATCCACAACCAACTCTAGGTGAATTTAATATTGTTTTCCTCCCATTTGATTTCTGAAATTACACATGTGAAACACCCACAGCTCAGCACGCGCGCGCGCACACACACACACACACACATATCCTCAGTAATTCATATTATTAAAATGACTTTTTCCAGAATATGACGTGTATGAGGCCAACATGCATGCGAATGTTGATAAACATCTGTATGTCATATTGGCAAACATGGGTATTGTGAACCAGCACCAATGAGCATGTTAGAAAGTAAGTGACATGGTGAAACATAATATTAGTTTTCTAAATGGTGCACAGTTCTTTCTCTGAAAAGGCATATGGCTCTGCAACCAGCCTTACACTTCCAAAAGTTTGTTCCCAATGTATATGGCAATTTCTAGGTACCACTCACGAGGATTTCCTTGCACTAGATTTTGTGGTAGATATCCTTGCATATTTATGAAGTAAGCACTTTTTTTGAAATCCCTTTGTCTTCATCTCTTTTCTGATGGGCTCACAAAAAACTTGGGTTTCCGTAGTTCACCTAGCTTTTAATTCCTGTTTGGCTCAGAGCAACAACTTTCACAGATTTCCACATAGAAATCAAAGGTTATTTAGAATCTATTTTAAAAGTTCACATGGAACACATAGCAAGCATGATGAAATAGTGGATTTTAGTGCAATTCCTAAAAAATTTCAAAGGACTGAATTCCCCCAGTGTGTTCTCCCTCCACAGATGTATAAGAAGCTGGGAGAAAAAAAAAACAAAAACCACTTGGATAATCACCAACAATTTTGAAATTCAGCCTGTGCCTACAGGAAAACAAAACAAATAAACGAAAAAGGAAAGGAAGAAAGAAAAAAAAAAGCCCAGGCACCAAGAAGAAAATACAAAGGGTATTAAAGTGAGCTCCCATTATCCAAGTCCTCCTACCTATCAAATTACTTGAGATGGAGGAAGAAGTCCTCTTAGTTCTCTTAATTGCCAAAGAGCCTCCTCTTATTCTGATGCAAAACGATAGGGACATGTCCCACTGTGACATGGGCATGTTTACACTTCAAGCACCCTGGTTCCAAGCAAGAGCTTCAACAGAAACCCACACCCAGACAGGCAACCAACACCAACACCTTTCCCCTCAAACTCCAGGCTGCGCCTCATGTCACAGGAAAGCTGTTACTGCTTCAGCTCTGGTCACCCGACCACCCTTGGGGCCCTGGATCCTGTGCTGCCAGTTGCTTATTGGCTGCTGCTAGGGGAGGCTGGGGAGCACAGCCTCTCTCATTGGAGGACCCCGTCATCCATGCACAATTGCTGTTCAGGAAGACTTTTGTGTCAAAAGGGAAAGATGATAGGCTACCAAGGCACAGAATCAGATAAATTGGAATGAAGTGGGGTGGGCCTATCAGAAGGTCAGGAGCTTGAGTAGGGCATGAGTCTAGATAGTTTGAGTTTTCTGCACA